CATATGATTTAAGGAGCTAAATAGATGGACTGGGCAGAAGGCCAGAGTACAAAGTCTACTTGCCAAATCCCAGCCCATCTCACTGACTCTTTCTGTGAGGAAGACAGTCTGATTTTCCACCCAACTAAAAAATTAGCATCATCAGAGGAATCTGGTATTTACACATTGCTTAGACTGTGTGTCAGATAAATTGGGGCTTTACTATTGGAACTCTGTGACCTCTCACCATTATCCATGTTAAGTGTCCAATAATACATGCCTTCATTGACATTCTGATGCAAAGAAATTTAATCTGATAATTTTTTGCTATCTAAAATATGAATATCTGACAATTAATAAATCTTGGTATATGCTAAACACTCTATCTACAGTACAAATGCCATGCAACAAAGCCCTTTTGTGAACTAGTCAGAAGAAGAAGGTTGTGGGGTGTTGATTTTGGCTTCTTTCCAACTACCATTTTGCACAATTCCTACTTTTATTTGATTTATTTATTCTTGAATTTTTGAGACAGGATCTTACTCTGCAGCCCTAGTTGGCCTTTAAATCATTGTTCTGCCTTACACTCTTGAATACCAGATTCAGAACTAACTTCTTAAACACTAAAGTAGTAACAATAGTTTCTATCTGTCGAGTGCATATGATTACTCTTCTGCAAAATATTCTACAGGTCATCCAAAATATGTTCCAGACAAATGAAAAGGTTCCTGTGACAATGTCCTTGTTGATGACTATGTGGTTAATGAGCACCAGTACTGATAGGAAAGAAATCTCTCTTTTTATTACCTGTATGGTGAGTTCTGGTTCTGAGCTGAAATCACATGCCTACAAATTTCAGTCCCAAGCGGTTGCTCCCTCTGAAACAATGATCCAAAAAGTCATTTTTTCCTTCCACAGATGATCTAGAAATATTTGATGTTTATAATTATGTTTTTCTCTGTCTAATTGTTTTCTTCTTTGAAATCAATATTCTTAATGTTTCTTAATGTCATTGTAATAACCAATATTTTATTTTTATTTGAGGCCCACTCCATGGGATGGAACACATGCCTGTGACCCTGCTAGAGTGGATAAAAACATGAGACTATATAGGTCCTAGGTCCTAGTGAAAAATTTAATATTATTATTCTGCTAAAGGAACATAGCACTATATGACTCCCAGTGACATATTTATACTGATATATCAGAACATCTCTGCTTCCTCATTGGAGAAATTTCTTTTTTTAAGGTTTTTCATAATCTTTTTTTTATTTTTATTAATTACAGTTTATTCACTTTGTATTCTTCCTGTACTTCCTTTCCTACCCCCCTCCCTCTTCCCTACCCGTATCCCTCTCCCAGTCCACTAAAAAGGGAGGTCCTCCTCCCCTTCCCTCTGATCCAGTGTCTATCAGGTTTCATCAGGAGTGGCTTCATTGTCTTCTTCTGTGGCCTGGTAAGGCTGCTCCCCCCTGGGGGGGGGGAAGATGATCAAACAGCAGGCCAATCAGTTATTGTCAGAGACAGCCCCTGTCCCCATTACTATGCTAAGATACTCAATCCCCATTCAGAAAGGCAAAGAGGATGGACATTGGAGGAGGGAGAAAACAGGGAACAGGACAGGAGCCTACCACAGAGGGCCTCTGAAAAGGTCTACCCTGCAGGATATCCAGGCAGATGTTGAGACTAAAAGCCAAATTTTGGGCGGAGTACAGGGAATCTTATGAAAGAAATGGGAGATAATAAGACCTGGAGAGGACAGGAAGTCAACAAGGACAGCAAGAGATCCTAAAAGTCCCGGCACAGGGGTCTTTTTTGAAACTGATACTCGAACTAAGGACCACTCATGGAGATGGCATGGAACTCCTGCATAGAGGTAGCCTATGGCAGTTTAGTATCCAAGTGGAGAAACTTCTTATATTGGCTGCATATTGTTTGTTTACTAGTTAAGCACTTAGATCTTTCAGTCCAAATATAAGTACCATATGAACACTAACTTTATACATCCTGTTTACTAGTAGGTTCTCAGTAAATTACACATGGAAATACTACATGATGTAGTGGTAGAGATAGAGATGGGGAAATGCTTTGTTGGCAGAACTTTGCTTTTGTTTGTATGTAGACCACCCAAAACCCATGTCCTTCTGCAAGAAGCAACTCCCTCACCATATGCAGAATCTTAATTACTATAAAGCTAAACCGATATTGGTATTTTTGTTTATTTGGAAAGAGTTGACACTATATTTAGAAAATTGATGTATTCTGGCCAATGAGATGTGCTGGAGGACTTAGTCTTATTTTTCTTTCTTTCCCAGTGTTGTCATTTGCATATGATCTCAAAGACTGCAGCAGCCATTACGTGAAGAAAGCCAGACTCTAAGCAATGCAGCATACATGGTAAGGATTGCCATAAATTACAGCCTTTCTGCTGTCTTTGGGTCATTGAACTAGACCCCATGAGTTTTGCTCAATTTCTGTACTTTTGCATGTTCAAGATAATAGCTTCCTTTTGCTAATTTACTTTTATCCAATTTTGTAAAAAAAAAAAAAAAACAAAAAAACCCCAAAAAAACCCACCTCAAATGATAGCATTTTCTCAGAATTAAACCTCTGAGAGAGAAAATTTGAACAATAGTTATATTAAAATAGTCTCCAATATGTATTAAAAGTCACTCAGTTCAAATGACTTTGTAGCTGTGTATACAACTTAAAAATACACCCAATTTTCTTAATATTAAGAATATATTTTCAAAAAAATATTTTAGATCACAAAAAGAATGGGTACTCTCTAATTCTGTGGAGCTAGAATATCTTAATATCCAAACTTAATAAAAATGCCAATGAAAACTGTATACCAATTTTAATCATGACATGGACCTCCAAAAATTCTGAATAAAATATTAGCATTAAGCACTCATTTACTTAAAGAATTTATGCAAAATTATACAGCAAAATAATTCCACACAAATTTTATTACTCCAAGTTAATAATAAATCCAATAATTTGTGAAATAGTAAACTCATAGCCATCAAAATCCAAGAACAACATAAAGATGGCACTATAAGTACTGGTATGCAACTCTTAAATTTTGAGTAATATATTGAGAAGCACATGAAATCAGTATAAATATTTGGACAGAAGCAAAAAATATATTTATGTACACAAAATATGCATATATAAAATATCCAAGAAACTTAAAACGTGTTATAAATACAGAAAATTTTGGTGAGACAACAAAATACAAGAAAATTATCACCATTATTTAGAAATTTACATTAATAACATCCAGTTCATCATAGGGATATTATATAAAAATTCTTAGGAATAAGTTTAAGAAAAAAGGAATACTACTCATGTAACAAAATAATTGGAGAATATAAAATAAGGCCTAAGGGGACAGGAAAATGTTTTACTGAATGGACAGATTTTATCTACAAAATACAGTTTCCAATATGTGGACTTAACACTTTATTTATTTATTTTAATTGATTATTTGTGAGTTTCACATAATGTACTCCAGTCCTCCTCATTTTCCCATCCCCTTATATCTGCCATTTGTTCATGCAACCTTCCCCCCCCAAGTAAAACATACACACACACACACACACACACACACACACACACACACACACAAACAAAACCAAAGCATAGGAAAAAAGTCACACTGTGGAAACTGTGGTATGTCACAGTGTGTTTATGCTTCTGGCCACACTTTCACTTGCAAATGTTCATTACAACGATCCATTGGTCTAGTTGGAGGTCTCTGGCTTTTGTGACACCATCAATATGAAATCCTAACCAAGATTCCTCCTGGTTAGTTTTGTTGCCCTGTGGTGTCATGGAGATCCTGCAGCTTTGGATCAGCAAGACTGGTCCTTTCCTATGTCTCAACCATTCACAGATGATAGACATTTTGGGATGAAGAAAGTCAGAACCTTGGATCTGAGCCTCAGTGGTAGCTGAGTTGATCAGCACACTGGCTCTCCTTTATCCGTGTCACCAGGGCAAGACAGGCAAGGGAACAGAAGTCATCTCCCTGAGCCCAGGCCATGTCATGGTAGAGGATTGACAGGGCCAGCTCTCCCTCCATCACATCTTTGGGCCCAGCTCACCTGTGCCTCTGCCACCAAGACCAGGTCTACTGTGCTGTCCAGGTGAGGTGCAGGGCCTGGTCTCCTGAGTACTGCAGCTGGTGAGTGGCAGGGATAGCTCTCCCAAGCTCATGATTCTGTGAGCAACTTTCAGTCAGCACCCCCACATTCATGATTTGGGGGCTGGCTCACTCACACCCTTGACACCAGCAACCTGTTCCACTGTGCTGCCTGGGGAAGCTCTTCTGAGTGCTACTACCAATAAGAAGTGGTGCCTGCTCTCCCAAATGCCACAGCCAATGAAGGGTGGTGCCAGTTCTGCACAGCTTCTGGACATCAATGTGGTCATGGGTGGCATTCTGATCAGGTATGTCCCCATATTCTCTAATGATAATATGATACACAGACTACATAGCCCCCAACAGCAGCTCAGGGTGGGACCTTACTACGGCCCTTACCAAGTCTCCAAGTTTCAGGGTTATCTACTTACATCAGCCTACCCCTCTCCTTCCTCAAGTCTCCAGTTCCATCTCTCTTTATAATGTTCAAGCTGCTTCACGTTTCTTTATCTCCCATCTGACTACCACATATTTGCACATTGTGGTGGTTCTGATGGTAAGGCTGGGCCCTTTGGGTGACATCCTCAGTCAATGTGTAAGGAGTGACAAGCAAGCAGGTGTCTACAACCAGTCTGTGCTGTGCACTGGAAGGCAGGTCTGTGGGTAGCATGGCAGGCCACCTTTCTTTGTCTGTCTTCCTTCTCCCTTACTATTCTGTATGGTAGAAGGCAGGGATCTATGAGTCTATGGCTCACCCCATGTCTTTGGGCAGGGCAGGACTGTGGTTATCTCCCCCCACCTATAACTCATGGCATGGTGGAATGAAGGCCTCTGTCTGTTTTCTTCCTCCTGGGCTGCACTGTGATTTTTTTTATGTGTCATAGGCATAAAACAGCTTTGGCCACCAAGCTAGGCATCAAGTTAGGATGAACAAAGGACGTCCAAATGCTCTCCCCATATCTAAGAAAAATACCATCAATAAGGTGTCTCTTTGCCCATTGCTAGGGGGGTGTAGGGCATACATTTCAAAAGGTATCCATATCCAGGTTTTATACAAAATTGGGCAACTATGATGTTTAAACAGAATGATAAATGCAGAAAAATTACATGAAAAATTTGAGCAAAGTGAAGAAAACATACCATCAAAAATGTCACCATAAGGAATTCTGTCACTATACTAAACATCAGTCATCCTAATAGAAAGGTATTACTATCAGCTTTCCACGCCTTCTATTCCCAGGCCTCTTTCCATTCACCAAGTATAGACACTGTCTTAGCCCAGTAAATTCCCTAGAACATGCTCACTTAGCACCGTTCCCAGACACTTAGGCTTAGCTCTGGTCATGCACTTTGTGCACTAGTTCAGCCATGAATGCCCCAGATTCCCACCCACCTGTGCCAGTTCCACATTCCCAGAAGGCCCGGTTTAAGTTGATCATGTAGTCCAGTCTAGTCACCAACTTGGATTTCTTCCTGCCTTATATCACACACTTCCTAGGCCTAGCTTAAGAAGCACAGATAGCTCAACATCCAGGCAGACCCAGCAAGAAGTTGCATTTACATATTTCGTTGGTTACTCCTGAACTGGAATCACACCCTTTCCCTCCAGCCAAAAATCAACACTGAGTATCTGACAGATTGATTTACCAATATTTGGTAAATTAAATAAATTTATACATTTGAGAAACACTCAAAGATACTAACTGTAACTTCTAAGGTAACCATTAAGAAAATAACTAAAGCCAAGCATGGTGGAATGCAACTTTAATCCCAGAAAATGGGAACCAGAGGCAGAGGCAGACAGATAATCTGTAACTTCGAGCCAGCCTGGTCTGCTAAGCGAGTTCCAAGACAGTGAAAGTTACATAGTGAGACCCTGGCTCAAAACAAAAACCAAAACAAAAACCAAACCAATCAAACAAACAAACAAACAAACAAACAAAAAAAAAACAAGAGAAAGACACACACAGAGAGATAGAGACAGAAAGACAGACGTATTAAGAGGGAGGGTAGGAGAAAAAGGAGAAAGGATGAAAAAAACATGCAGAAAAGGAAATGAGAAAAGCAAGCCATAATAAACTGGGGAACATAGACTACGTAAAAAAGAGAATAAATATTAGAGCTATAGAGGTTCAGAAATTATAGACTGAAGGGTTTTGGAAAGGGAAATGAAACATAAGTTCTGGAGTGTTAGGAGAAGCTAGTCAACATATGGAACTAAGCCCTGAGAACTACCGAGATAGAATTCACAGCTAGCAATACATTGTTCAAAGGGACTCCTCGTTTGCTGTATGTTAGAACCACTTGAAGAGTTTTTAAAAGTACCTATGCCTGGATCGCCCACTCTCTTACATTAACTTTAAAAGAAAGCTGCCCAAGTAAATATAACATGCACCAGAGATTGATCACCATCATTATAAATGGTACCTAGTGCTGTTGGCAGGGGATGTACCTAGTGTGTAGTCATCATAGAGAAAAGAAAAAGATTCGAACTGGAGAGATATTTTCTTTAAAGGATGTAGAAAGATCTAGATTTCTGCTGTCAAGTACAGTAGCCATAAAGCATGTATAAATGTACCAGTCATATTTTAAACACTTAATAGTCACATGTAGCTCAGGAGACTCTACTGGATATGAGAGATACAGAACATTTTCATGCTTGTAGGGCCAAATGTCTTTTTCTTTTCTGAAATACCTATAGTGAAGAAGACTTGCAATTCTAGAGAAACTACACAGATCACATTTGGGTCCTTTAATTGGTATAATGCATTTCTATGGCTCTGCCTGTGTGTGCAGTGCTGTTACTCATGTAAGATATTTCTTCTACTTGCTAATGTCCAGGGATGTTTTGTCAAACCACTGGCAGCTGGATTGAATCAATAATTTTTACTTTCTCGCTCAAGTCACTCAGCTGCATGGGGGCCTTAAATCTGTTGCTCAAAATTCATTATCACAATGTCTGCACGATGTTCTTTAAAGCAGTCAAGAGAAGGACAGAATGGAATGACACTGATTGTAGCAAATTGAAGGCAGTGTAATTGGTTAAAAGTCTTGCATCTGGTTATTAGTCTGAGAGTTGCTTTTTTCCCTGATTATGTAGGTCACAACAAATCAGTATCTGTCTTCTTTCGCTTACCCCTTAACTTTGAAATCTAAAGTGACAATGTTCACACAGGAGTTTGTTAGCAACATCTCTTTAAATGGCGTAGAGGAACTTATTTAAAAAATTAGTAACAAAGGGTATGTGGGAGTTCCTTAGATTTTTTTTTTTTTGCTACTTCTCTATGTCTAAAGAATGATTTCAAAAATAAAAACTAGAAAAATATATGCATGAGCAAATTATGAACAGTTTTTCATAAGAATTCAAATGACATGATTAAAATAACCCTTTTCCTTTCCCCTATTTTAATGTGTTCATTCTTAACACAGGTTTTCTTACCCAGTGTTTTTACTTATAATTTTTTAGAAAAATTTAATGAATCATTTTCTACCTTAATGCATTCTATATATTCACCCTGCCCAGCACTATTTCCCCTTGTATAGAAGAGTGGTCTTGAGGTCAGACTGAGAGAATGTGTTTCATAGTGTCACATACTAATATATCATGTTAATTAGTCTTAATGCACTTGACTATTCTCCAGTTTGGAGACACTTAAGATTGTATCCACTTATGTCCATTGTTATAAATTAACATTTGATATGCACATATACTTAGATAAAAATATCTTTTTACATATTCACAAGTATTTCCCCAGTATAGCTTCTCAGAAGTCAAATTACCAATTGCATTTTTTGAATCTCTCATTTCAAACTGGTGCGTTTCCTAAAATTGGTTTTCTTTATCAACAGTGGCTTCTAAGGGGGAAGAAAACACAGTAAATCCCAGGAAACAGAACTTAATCTTGTTTTTTTTTTTTCTATGTTTGATGTGAATGATATTTCAAAGTTCTTTTTTTTCTCAGATGTTCTAAGGATCTGTGTGTCTTTAACAAGTTGACACTTTGTCATGAATGAAATACATTTATTTAAGAGTTTTCAATATATATCACTTTCATCTTGTGTAGATAAAACATTCAGAGCCCTTCAACAAGGGCCTACCACTCCCCATAGTTACAGAGAATCATCTCTGTTTCAGGGCAGGACATTACAAAATGCTTTCGAGATTTTAACAGTTCATTGTTATACCATTTCTTTTGTTGTTGTTTTAATATAGGGTCTCCGGTAGTTCAATATGTCCTTAAACTTACTATATAGCCAAGAATGGCATGAACTCCCAATGAATGCTAGGCATCCATATCAGTACTGCTATGCCAGCCAATTTTTTCCATGTCTAATCAAAAAAGAGGTAAATTCATTGGGCAGAGGTGGCACTAAATAAAATCCTCAAGGTTAAGATTAGGTTGAGTTACTAAGAGTGGTAGTTGGGAAAATAAATAGAAGAGTAGAACCTGAGTTGAATCTTTAAGGTTGGGTAGGATTTGAATAGGTAGCTATAGGAGCTGGGATAATATCCACTATGTCAGAAATATTGGATGGGTATTCACACTGTCTTGGGTAAGAAAGGAAATAATGTAGGAATAGGTAAGGTGAATCTAGCTATATGTTGGCAAATATTTTGAAAATCTAGTTGAGAAGTTAGGCTCTGGGAAGCCCTCTTCAGTTTTTACAGAAAAAAAGATAAAAAGAAAGCTGTACAAAGTGATTCCAGTGGTTGTACCAATGGGGAATTAAGTTGTAACAGAATGGAACTTACACTGCAAAAGAAGGCAATCCATCTAGAAAGGAAAAAAAGGAGAATTTTAGAGTTGCTTCACAGGACTTAATACCAGACTGGAGGGCATGAGACACAGGGAGAAGCACACAGTATACCCAAGTCTGTCCTTAGGATTGGGGATACTGCTTTCTGAGCAACTAAGAAAAGCCACACACTAGGCTGACTACTAGATCCCTAGTATTTTCCAGGTACACAAAGGCTCTGTTAGAGAGAGTTTATTTCTTCCTGACTTCCACTATTACTTCAAGGATGCTTATTTCATCCTTTTGGCCTTCATTTGGCAATGGATCTTTATATTGAACTTTGTTTCTGCATCCCAGAGTGTTCTGCCAAGTAATGATCTTAAATACTTAACTGCATGCAGGAAGTTCTGTAGAGTGCTCCCTTATAAATGCAGTCATCTTCCACATGACTGTTTTGCAACTTTCTCCTTTTGTATATTTAGGTTATCTAAAATCAGGTCACTCTTGTTTTCACCCAAAACATACTAGCTTTATACAAGGTTATGTTTCCTGAAAAATCATTTAATTCTTTCCTTCCAGGCAAGGAATGTCACAACAGTATAGGTTCAAAACAAAAGAGAAAAATCATGTTATGATGACTTAGATAGAAAGATTAGTCTATGCTGCTATGTGTCAAATAGTGCAAATGACAAAGTCATTCTTGAAATGATTCTAGTCCCAGCTCTTCACTTACTTGAAGATGAATTCAAGTTGGACTTATGTCTCTATTGTCTTTACTATTATTTGAAGAAGATAAGAACACTTGTTAAGATCAAAATGCCCAGATATATTTGGTCCTTGTGGAGCTCCTATTCTTTCCACGTCATACTAACTCCCCCTTCTTTTCCTTCTGGGATATTTCACTCAGAATGATCTTTTCTAGATCCCACCATTTGCCTGCAAATTTCATGATTTCCTCCTTTTTGATTGCTGAGTAGTATTCCATTGTGTTAAAATACCACAATTTCTGTACCCATTCCTCCGTTGATGGATATCTGGGTTGTTTCCAGGTTCTGGCTATTACAAATAAAGCTGCTATAAACATGGTTGAGCAAATATCCCTTTTGTGTACTTGAGCAAAGTTTGGGTATATACCTAGCAGTGGTATAGCTGGGTCTTGAGGAAGCACTATTTCTAATTGTCTTAGAAAGCGCCAGATAGATTTCCAAAGTGGTTATACAAGTTTGCATTCCCACCAGCAATGGAGGAGAGTTCCCGTTTATCTGCATCATCT